TCTTTTGTTTTGCTCATATTTGTTGTTTGTAGAGTTTTGAAGTGATTGGAACTAAATATTAATTATAGCTAGTAAAGTTAACACCAAAAATTAATTTGATTTGCTTAAGCTATATAGCTCACAATAACAAATATTTTATGTTTTTTTTTTTTTTTAACAAAAACAAGATTTATGACTGAATTATAGTATAGCTGACATACTTTAAATTTAATATAATTTCGTGTCATATTATTTTTTATATATTTTAATATAATTTTACATGGTCCAATAATTAAAGTAAATGTTGACATACATTAAATTGTAAAATTTATTGTAAATATAGTCTAACTTATTATCTTTTATATATAAAAATTTAAAAATAAACTAATTGTAATTGTGAGATCTGCCGGCTTATTTCTTCTCCTTAATTACCTTTAGGTACTGGTAATATAACATAAATCTCTTTGGACATCAAGCCCTACATGCATATTAAAAAAATGTCTTAATCATCATTTAATTTACTCATTACATATAATTATTCAACTCTTATTGAATTCTTTTTATGACGTCATTTCTTTCTCTTATTTCAAGAAAAACAAAGAGAGAGAATTTAATTTAAGAATATATAGTTATGAATAGGTTACTTTATTTAGAAGTAGAATGTTAAGGAGATGAAGAATGGAGAAGCGTGGGAAAACAGAAGAGCAAGCGATTGAGTTAGGTGGCAATGAAGGAGGAAGAAAAGAGAGTGATCAGAGACTGTCGAGTGGTGAAATGGAGTCTCTGGTCGCCATTTGTGATACTCTGTTGCCATCCATCAACCACGACAGCCTTGGAGATGTCGATCAAGCCACCACCACCTTTTATCATTCGTCGGCTTCCATGGCCGGAACGCCAGAACTTGTAAGTTAGTATATATTATAGACATATATTATTGAAAAGTTAGAGCTAAAAAGAAAAAATAATGTAGGTGGGAGAGATAATAAGTGAGAAATTGAAGCACCCGAAGAAGTGGCTAATGAGAGTTGCTCTATGGCTGCTTTCTACATGGATCGGGAGCTTCATATTATGCGGGAGGAGAAGCCTGTCAATGGAGTTTCCCTTCTTCCATAAATTCTCAGAATTGTGTTACAACCAGAGAGAGGAAATATTACTTTCATGGTCTTTCAGCTACTTCTATCTCCTTAGAACTCTCTTCAAATCCATCAAGCTTCTCACTCTACTCGTCTTCTTTACTCAGGTATCAATGCTTAGCATCCATTAACTCTTTTTATTTTTTATTTACATATATATATATATATACACACACACACACACACAGTTTTTAATATTTATATATATGATACATTGAACGCAAGGTTATCATCATAATATCTGCCTAAACTAAAAAGTCTAAAAAGGTGATATTCTCTCATGTACTTGCCTGACAATTTTATTATCACCCTTTTAATTAATTATAAAAAAAATTAAACTATTAAATTAGTCCCGTGCTATATAACTTTAAATATTTAAATTAGTTATTGTATTTCTTTTTCACTTTTGGTCGTTATAAGTTTTTAAGTTTAGTGACCCCATTAATTTATATTAATACCGTTAGTTGAAGTGTCAGTGTAAATAATTTCAATTATTTTTAATTAAATAAATTTTTATATCAGATGTCAAATAATATTTTATTTGTAAAAAATATTAATTATTTTTAAATATAATAAAAATATAAAAATTAAAAATTAAAAAACATAAAAAAGTAATAAATTCTTCCTCCAAGTGCGTGACGTCTCCATCGTCTCCTTCCTCTCTTCCCTTCATCATTTGCAAGCTTCCGTGGAAGCTTAAAAAAATAAAAGAAACGAAGCTTACGGGATCCGAAGAAATCGAAGAGCAACAAGAAGCAATGTTCTTGAGCCGACGCATCGCGTTCATTTTCCCATCTACAAACAGACCTTATACCCCAAAAGAAAAAAACAAAATCCCACAAAAATACAAGTGGAATTGCATACCAGAAGAGAGAGAAGCTCAGCTCTCTCTCTTTCTCTCTCTCTCCTTACCTCCTCCTAAGTGTTCAACAAAGCGGAAACAGAACCCGCTACTCCAATTATAATTATGTTATGAAAATAAAATGAAAAACAATAAGCAAA